CATACGCAATTACGACACTTTTATTGATATTTACATTATATATATTTGTAATTTATTGCTTGAGCATCTTAGACAACATACTAGCCTGCTACTATGCGACTTGCGCAAAATATTTACTTTTGAATAAATCTTTTGACAATACTTTTAATATTTGCTCGAAAAATGCTTATTTTAATATAATCTAGAACCCCGTTTATAAAACTTGCGCAAGTTTCATCTTTTCTGAAAAGTCAAATTCAAATTCCTGAAATTTGGAAATTTTGTTTAAAAACATGCTTATTTTAAGACCCTTAAAGATGCAAAAGGCTGTATTAAAGCAGAAGGAGACTATCTACATATAGTAAAAATGAAACCCGTTTCCCGTTGTCACGCCATAACTTGAGAACGGCTAGACCGATATGGCTGTTTTTTTTTTAGTTTCCTAATACTCTGTAGAAGGTTTTTACGGAAAAAAATATTAAGAAAATGTTTGAGAAATATTGAAAAAATACATTCAATTTTGCATATTTTAAAAACGCGCGTAACGAATGTCATATGTGGTTACTTAATTAAATTCTATCGCACTAATTTACTAATATTTGAAAATTACTCGCCACAATTAAATGTACCGACTTTGACGGTAATATTAATAATACCAGTGATGATATCATTTTAATGTAAGTATTTAATAATAATAAAATATGTATACTATGAGTTAGATTTCAGAACGCAGTATACAAACTTCGCATAACCTAGTTAGTAATCTGTGGTGATCTAACACACCTAACCTAACATAGCGGTAACAATAATTTTATTAAGTTTTTGATAAAGTTTATTTTGTTTTAAAAACTAAGAGGTTTGTTTTTTACTAATAAGTGTTTCTTAATCACGGTACATTCACAGCTTATTATCGATTTTTGGTAACTTTTGATGACTACACAATATTAAAATTTGGTATACAGTTGGATTTTCGTTTTTAAAAATGACACCACGCAGACGTACAAACTTAGGTCACTGAACTCGAAATACTGCAAGTCAAAGATATACCTATAAGAGCAAATCACACTGATGAGCAACGCGAAGCGCGAAATGAAGTGTTAGCAACAATATTTAAAGGTTATGAACGGCATAGCCGATTTGGCTTTAAATTGGTGGGGAGATAGCATAGAATCATCTATTTTAAATAATTCGCTACTGTTGTCAATGTGAATGAAAACGTAAATTATCTAGATATACTCGGAATGACATCGTTGGTTGAAAATTATTCAGAGCTATTTCAATTCACCTCAATTATGCAACGGTACACCTTTGATAATCAAAAAAAATTACAAGAAATATTATTGTAGCAACTATTTTGACTGGAAAATTTAATGAAGAAGTGTCCTCTTGCCACGTTTTCCAACTGTCAGAACGTACGATACAAATAGAGATTAATTAATTGAATTTGGAAATGTTTATAATTAAAAACTATAAATATTATTATTAAAAATTAGGAACGAACAACCTCTTTATTATTTCAAACGTTATCTACTAACAACTTTGAAAATTACTAAATTTTTTCATACTTGAATATAAAATTAAAAAATCAACGTATTATATTTTATGTTTATTTGTGTTTAATAACAAATCGAAGGAAATTAGTATTAATCATTTTCAACTTTTGGAAGTGATCTGCTTGGTGTTTCTTACATTGGAATTAACGTTTTCGTTTCACTTCATAAATACAATTTTTCTGTATTGAATAGTATGTAATTAATATATACCTTAGCCACAGCAACGTGTGGACAGGATCCTCTATTATAAAATTAATATGTAGAAACATTGAAGTGAAGCGTAAATGTATAATAAGTGCATACTATAAAAAAATTACTATAAATTGAGAAATTGTAAGATAAAATTTGTGAAATTTTCAACTTAAAATACAAATATATCGAAAACTTTAAGACTCCGGCGGCTATAATTATTGCATTCTTGATCGCGAGAATCCCCTCTATCCAACCATACCCTACCCCTCTTAACCCTGAAATCCTGATATGGTATACTAAAGTTTCCTCAGTATCTTATTATTTAAGTAAGAAGTAAATAAAAAGAATATATTTGTAGTTGATTTACAGATCTTAATGTACATCTAATTTTGTAGAAAAGTAGCAGAAACATTTCATTTGACTAAGAATTTTTCAATTTCGACTGTCACTCTTTCAATATTTATTGTGATATTAGAATCGTGCTCTATATTTAAAATTGATGGATCGCGAGTGCAAGCCACACGTTCAATATTTATTGCGACAGATTTGTAATAAACTATTCCTTTGATAGAAAGAGTTTGAATAATGGTTTTCCTTTATTTGATTAATTTTTCGTTCGTAAAACAATTAAACGAAAGACTTGGAGTAAATATACTAAGAGCCATTAAAAATTCAGCAGATCTTTGAAAATGTTAAAATTTGCATAGAAATATAAAACAACAACACATTTTTTATAAACATCGCACGTTTTAAAAATTTTTCAATGCTTTTTCCGTAGCATCACAAATTGCTTAACATTCAGTATGTATCGCGCGATTCACAATCCGCCACCCGGCTTTATTTGTTATAGGGATCGCAATCCATCAATATTGAATACTAATCGTTCAAAAATTTCGTAATCCGAAATTGCGGTCAACATATAAGTAAAACGATCTGTTAATTTCGTTTTGAATTTTTTATTTCCCTTTACAAGGGCAGCCGGTCTCAGCGGAGAGTTATTACAACTAATTTACACAAAGGCGACGCTAGCGTCTAAATACCTACACTGCTTGCTAACTTTAGTTGCTGCACGTTATTTGCCGCGTGAACCAATTCCGCTTATTGTCTTGTATTTGGTTTATTGTTGTCACGCGCAAGACTATAAGTGTTCGATCACCAATATGGCCGGAAGCGTTATTATTGCAGTACTGAACTTTTCTTTGGTGTTATGTGCAAAACTGTAGACGCGCCGTCAGCAAATTACGTTGAAGCGATATTTGATTACGTTGAAGTGATATTTTGGCCGGATGATTGATTACCCGTGTTAACTTATATAGAACGTATAATGGTCGCCAATGAAAGAGCATGGTCCGCTTTACAATAGATATATATACGTCGAGTTATAATACAACAAATGATCTCTGACTCTGACGGCCCTTGAAGACGGTCAAATAATTCCATCAACGTTTTAAGTATGTTGGTGTCGTCGGGTTTTGTCAGCTACACTTATTGCCGGCTCTGCTTGATGAATATTGAAAATTTTTGATATATTAATTTAACGGCCGCTAATTTGATATTCTCCACTCCAGTTGAAAGATGAACAAGTTGCGGACGAAACAAAATAATTATTATACCTATTGTTTGGGTGATGTTAAAATTTATTGAACTCTTGTTTACTTAAAATCTTTAACTTATGAATTATCGATCTATTGATAGTTATTATCAGATTAAGTTACTTAAGTCCAATATCTAAGTTACTACTAATCGCATATTTGGCGCAACAGCTTCTCGCATTACTCTGTCCTGTTTTTCTATTGGTGGTTTGACCATATTTAAAAGTTCATTGAAGGTTTATTAACCCTTTCGCGAAAAGTTATGATAATCTCTTTCGCTTAATAATTTCAGTTCGTCTAAAAATATTTTAGGTCTAAACTGTTTAGGTGGTAGGTACCACACTCTCATTTAACTATTTTTCTTCTTTTTCCTATTTGTTTTATTGTTTTTTT